CATTCGCCTATAAGTTTCAGACATTCTTTGTAATTCCGAAACAAAAGTTCACCCAGGCCGAGCCAGTTCAGGTTGTCGAAAAACAGTAGTCCCTAATGTTTACTCAAGTGATCTTCTATACTTTCCTGAAAAAGGTTGATAAGGGCCGAGTGAAGTTTGGTAAGTTCAGTCTAATTTTTCATGCTCATGCACAGAATTATATTTTTCTTTCTCAACTATCTGGCAAACAGAAATATATCTGAATATGAAGTAACGCTGTTTGCCTGCAATATGAACTGACTATGCGTTTGAGGCATTGACGGATTTCATACGTTGACATCGACATATACTTTCTCAAATGGTGTAGGTACCATTTGATCGATCTCAATGTTTTTGTAGTCTCCCTGATGATGGAAATATTTATTTCCGAAAGCTTTGAGAGAAACTTCAATAAGTGCACATCACTTTTGCTGCAATCCCAATTCACAGAACGTTTTATAGGAATAGTAGAGTGTTGTTTGAATTTCACCTTTTTTCCACCATAATGATAAGGGCTTAGAGTCCGAACCACAAGAATAAGGAGAAAAATGCAGGTTTGTGCAGTTTTCGATTGTACATGACTCTTCGGAAAATTGTTACAAACACATTGGAATATGTTGAATTTGTGGCTCCTCGTTTTTCAAATTATCCAAAGTGTGATACATTCCAGTATACAGGATGAGAATGCCAACTGATTTTTCGAGAAAAAAAATATCAGGTCCGAATTGATAAGAAAAATTGTTTGTTGCCCTGGATAAACGAAACGTTGTATGGAAAGATTGATATTACCAAATTGAAAAACATACGGAATAAGAGTAAACATGTTTGTGTGTTTTTTTCTATTTCCCAAAATGGGAGGACCATCGCCTGAAACTGAAAATCTTTGATCTTGTTTTTTCTCAATCATTCCGGGAATAGCTTATGATATCTCTAATTTCCTCACATGGTCTTGAAGTTCCCCAAAATGTGCAAGTCTTGTTTTATTCAACCAATTTTTTAGTTCTAACCGTTCCAGAGCTAGCAATAGTGGGACAACTGAATGTGGGCCACTCTGGCTATGCGGAGATGGAAAACGTTCTTTCACGCCGTAACCCCAAAGCGACGATTTGAGAGACCTTTCTGGGATGACTACCGAAGTACGCGATGACGCAGGCAAAGACACAACTCTACCAAGTGGTAGGAAGACTAGAAGAGACAATAAGAAAGGCGTTTGGAATGGCATGTCGATTGAGAGCTGTTCCTAAGCATCAAAACCTGAGGAAATCAGATAGTACTTGGACGACATTCTCCGAAGATTCGCTCAGACATGTACTGGAGGTACACTCGTCTTCAGAGGTCAGGTCACACATAAACGATGTCAGCTCCCTTGATCACCGCTGCAATAAGAACGCTCATACCGTCCAACCGCGACATGTTCGCTGAAGACGAGTGTACACTCCCTGTGAAGAGTTGGTGACAACCAGCAAGCCCCGTCGGTACAGCACCTCATGAGGACTGTCAACTGGCGAATAGAGTTTCTAACAACGATTTTATATCGAGGGCAGTGAAAGAAATTGGATATATCTCAGGAGCCTGAAAGTTGACGAGGGTTATCTTGATCCCCAAAACAGAAAAATGAGGCTTCACAGTATTAGGGTCTTCCAGACCTATCAGTCTAACACCATTGCTGGAAACGCTAGAGGAGTTGGTGAAAAGGTTCCTTATAGAAAAGCCTCTGAAAATGAGTTCTCTCATAGGAAGCAACACGCCTATATAAAAAAAATTTCGATCTAATCTGTCCCCCTCTCCGTAGTGTGAAGGGTCGAGAGGACATTATGATACAAAGAGTTGACGTTAGGAGTATTTTTCGACGTAGAAGGAGCTTTCGACAAGGTGAAGATAGTGACGATACGTTTGGCATTAGCAACAGGGAAAACTTTCCCTCCATTGGAGCTTTCTTAGTATGTTAAACAAACAAATCTTGCCTGACTGACGAACAGGCCTCAGGCTCAATGATTCATCTTAAAGGTTGAAACATAAAGGGAATCTTTGCTCTAGAAAAATGCATTGTAGTCTTTCAAGCCGAAGTGTTTGGCATCCTGGAGAAGCAGAAAGGCAAGAGGTGAAAATGAGGTTATAGCGGAAGATATTCATCTGTTCGGACAGTCAGGCAGCACAAAAGACTATCCATCATCTCAGACTGAGCTTGGTATCGGTACAGGAATTTGGAAATGCTTTCATGAAATCAGCAGAACCGTAGGGAGTTGAACTGGTATTGGTCATAGGTCACAGTGTGGTGTCAGGACATAGCAGACGAACTCGCCAGAGCCCATCCTAGATAAAGCAAGTATTAAGATCACGTCAGGAATGAATGAGTTAACAAGGCATCAGAAGAATACTGAGAGAATTTCACAGGTTGCAGGCAGGCCCAGAAATTAGTGACCAGTAGAACTCTGCCTTCTCATAAAAGTATTCACAGGACAAACTAGGTTAGGCAGACACATAACACTCATAGGAATAGGACAATCCTACTTGCCGCAGATGTGGGAAAGATGAAGAAACGTCACTTCATTTTCTCGTCGAGTGCTAGGCGTATGGGAAGCTGGGATACAATATATTTGGAGTCGTCAAACTTCAACAGGAGGAATTGATCATATCAGGGTGGACGGGCATACAGGCTTGCATTGAAAGGTCCGGGAGATTCGTTGAGAAAATCTAGGTGAAGGCTGCGAAGATATGTGAAGGGCAGGAGTCAGCATTAAAAAGCCAATGAGGCCTACTTGCTTGGCCACAGCCTACCTACCATACCACTTCTCATACTAGAAATCGAAGACCTAATCGATACAAATCACCAAGTTTCGAAAAAAATATGGAATCAACGAGTCAGTAAGGCCACCTCTTTTGTGAACTTCTTCAATGATGTCTGATGATTTGACATGATTACCTAATGAAAAAAACAGTGATTGTTAAAACGTTCACCAATGTTACTCACGATGAATCGCGTTTGGCAGGACCGTCATTCTTTTGCAGAATTCATCAAGGTTTTAAATGTCAAATCAGTGGGAATCATAATATATCAATTGAATGCTGGCAATATTTCATTATAGATGAAAGTGCACTTGAAACGGTCGTTCACCAGTACGAGCTCACATTTGAATTGACAATTTTGAAAATATCATGATTTCATAATGAACAATACAATTATTGTAATAACCGTTTCTTATGTTTTATCACATTTATTGAAAAAGGCGCCATTTTGTTTTCATTGAAGCTTTCTCAGAATCCCCTTATGTCGAATCATTGTAAACCATAATGAACTGTACGATTATTGAAAAAACGGATCAAACATAGAGGCAATGACGATTTAGCCACAAATCCTTTCAATTTCTTCAGGTCATTTGTAAATAGCTATTGGAATGATACAGTCGATGCACAAAATCCGATATCATTTCTCAGGAGAGATGCGAAATTTTTTGGTCAATTTAGTCGCCGATACAAAAGATAGTCGCATCACGCAATTCATTCAAGAGGTAGAGATAGGAGAACTGAGTAACATCGATATGCTTTGGCAAATACCATCAAACCTCGAACATATAACTCTCTCAATGCTAAAACTGAGAACATGTTTGAGTTTAATCCATTTATTATCTCAGAACTTGACAATGCTACTACAGATTTTCAACGTTTTGGAAAGTCTTCTGCAATATTAACTGCTCAACAATGCAGAATGAGTTGATTACTAGAGTAGCCGTGGCATAATATCATCGTTTCCCCTCCAGAAACTGATAAATTCAAAAAAATTAGAGAATCCAGAAAATCCAGCTCAATATCATCATATCTTCAGAACTCTCATAACTCGTTGAGACCTGCCGATTCTGAAAATAGAATCTTAATCATCATGACCATAAGAATAATATTTATATTCAGCATATTATTTTCCATATGTTCAGTATTCACCTCCTCATGAATCTCTGATTCCATTCCATCCCATCAGGGGCCAGGTAGCCGTGCGGACAGATTGTTTATATTCTAATCCGCATTCGGTTGCTGGTCGTGGGTTCGAGTCTCGTCGACTGCAGACATTCTCCTGATGGCCCAAGAAAGTGTTTGGGATCACACGTTAAAAGGTAAGGCCGCCGTTATTCCTTGCTCGCACAAGACTATCGAAGACTTCTGAGGGTTGCTCCTAAGGGGGCAACCGAATGACGGATAGAACAATTTTAGAACAAAAAAACAACAATTGATTAATCACTGTCCTCACCATCTTCTGCTGATTCTCATCAATCTAACCTTGTTGGATAATATATTCGAATCTTTAAACAATCCAAGAATATATGATTTTTTTATTGATCAAAATTATAAGTGTGTAATGTTTTGATTCACGTGTATTTTCAAATTTGAAGTAAATTTGTTCTGATTTCATCAGATACCTAGCAAAACCAAGTTCTTCATCATATGATATTCAAATATTTCACATTTCCAAAATACTATCACCAATACGATGAAATAGGGCACTATATCGACATCGAGAATATTTCAACTGATGATATCTAGAAACCTCATTTATGTAGGTTAGGCCACTTCACAATGGAAGTGACAAAGGTTCAGAATGCGTTTATCTGATCTGGGTCGAAATTGAGCTATTCATTAGCCGATTCGAAAGATAGAGTGGATACACTTGAGAAGTCAGTGATAATGATTGTGATGGAATATATATACGTTATAGGCCAGCGACCCATACAAATGAGTTTCGAAAAATATCTAGCACATCTGGAATATGATTGGTTTGATCAGTCGAGTGTAGCCGATCACATGTTTTATGCATCAAGTTATATCTCCGATGACCCAATCTGTATTTCAATGTCAATCATGTGTCTCGTCCTTCTCCTGTCAATAGTGTACTTGACAACTATCACATTCAATTATTCATCTGTTCGAATATACTTGACCATCATACTGTTATCACCTCTCACACAATCTAAAATTGGGTCTGTTGCACTTACCTTCACAAATGCTTCCAGATTGTCCGAGAAAGGCTCCGACGTATACAAGCCTTTGAGCTTAATTCCTACTTGAGTTTTATTCTCCACATTCATTGAATCTTGTACAAGCAAACTAGGATCAGCATCATTGAGTGCAGCGAGTTGAATCACCCTTTCTTCTATAAAATAATAAAATGTTGGTTGCTTCCCTGTATCAATAAATTATGTAATATGACAAAAAAAAATATCCAGAGCGATTCCAAGAATTTCAGAAGATGTATTCATTCGAGCTTTATATCTGACCCCAGTACTGTATTGATGATTAAAAAAAAAAGAAATAAGCACATCTGGTATTTATTTATTATTATTTTTATCATTATATTATTATATCATATCACCAGATAACAGGTTCTCAGGACCTCTATATGATGTGAAGCAGAATGTGACCTTTATTTTTTCATGAAAACATCAGAACAAGAATCATCAGTTGATTTGGGTAGTTGTACAACCAAGATGTTCTTAACGGATCAGCTGAAATAGACATGAAGATATGATGTTGATGATGATCATGGAAATAATTCACCAAGATCGATGAGTTGAATAGATTCAACGATGAAATAACAGTGTATTTCTCATGTTGACGCAGAGTGTATATGGATGTCAAATATGTAATGGATTCACAGCAATGCGGACATTTCATGAATAATTATAAATCGGAATACAGAGATGAAATCAGATACTTCCCTTAATCATAATTTCAAGTGGATTCGTCCATTCTGAAGTAGAGATCATGAATCTTGGTCATTATGAATATCCAAAATCTAGGACGTGAACTATTTGGGGTATTATGAACATATAGATGCAATAAAAAAACTCTGATCTGCATGTTTTCCTATGGTCTAACCATGGAGGAATCAGAGAAGTAGGCCTCTCCTCTAGTGAAAACTATTTGAGGCTGATTTTATACAGTGTGTATCAAAATAATGTACAAATTCATCGAACAAAAACAATTGAAGTGAGGTTATGAATTTTCAAATACTTCAAGAATCAGCGCTGATGCTGCAAATCAAATGCTGTAAGGAGACCTACCAACAGGGCAACATCGTGGTTGTAGTTCACTAGAACATTTCACTAGAACAATTTTTTTGTACTTAATAAAGTGACCTGTTCAAGTATGGAAGTGATTTTCAAAAAGTGATAGTTCGAAGTAGGTAGATAACATTAATATATATATATATGGTGAATGTAACCTGTCGTAGATTTTGTGATATTTCATGTTGAACTCCACATTTCCACCAGATTCTCTTAGAAGATCGGATTATCAATGGTAGTGTAAGTTACAAATTTGAATGAACAGCAGAATGATATTTTGATTGTAACGCCCACTTTCTAGATGTGAGTGCACTACCCTGTATTTGGTCAGCGTGAATGTTGTGATGAGGACATTTCATTGCATACAAGATGATATCTGCTGCAATGAAATATATACTGTATAAGTAAGACGTTTGACAGTTTGAATATTGGAGGTAGTCACTTACATTTCTTGTTGTGGATTAGGCAACTGAGCCTTCCTAGAATTTAATTCATTGTTCTGAAACGTTTTTAGTACATAGAAAGTTTCGAAGAAAATATAAACGACATCATCAACCCTCCATTAAATTATTTGGATATGGGTCATTACGCTTCTGATGATGATGTACCAAGTTGATACGATCTATATACCACTACTCATCATATCGGTACCACCAACAGCAGACACCATCTTCATCTCCTCATGATCGAAACGAGTTCAACGACTCAAGTTTGTCTTTGATATCGGTAGAATCAGTTGTGAATAAGATACCATATTATGTTGAATATCACCAAGATGATAGGTCCCATTATCGTACTTCTATTTTAGTTATTGCGATTACTTTGAATATTGAAACAGACAACATACCAGTGATATGCTATAGTTATGAATTTATCTATTCATCTCCAATACATAATTTGAATAATTCATGGATTCTCCACATGAGAAGATCATCTTGGTACTACCCAGTGGTATATTTTTGTACCAATTTGTTCAACCACATCTTGCAGGAGCACTAGTTTTCTGTATCAAAATCATAAAAATCATGCTCAGGGTAATCATGAAAACACGTTCTTCCTGAATGATTATGTATATTATTGAAAGAATCGTCCCTCACTTCATCAGAAACTGAATGATTTGAGAAGGAGAGATTGTTCTTTGAGGCAATTGTTCTTTCTTTATATGAGTGTATCTTCACAGACAGGCATCAAATCTTCTGAAGAGAATTGATGAAAGAATGAAAGAAATTATAAATTGATGAGGTATTGCATACAAACGAACTGTACAGAAAGTGATATAAATAGGTTTGAATCTGATATTGATGTATAAGTGTTGTATGTAAATGAGAGTCTTCTTATATAACTTATTGAAAAAATTTCATTAAACAATATGTTGAGTTGCGTATCACCAGCAGGGCCACAAATAATTATCCAACCATTGTAGTATCTTCACAAATCAGCACCTTTCAGCGAATATGATATAATTGAAGAATAATAATGGTGAGTGGATATCAAGATTTTGGTGTGTCTTCAATGTATGAATGAATGAGTTCATTCCAGCCTCGATGACTAGCTCCATGCATAACATTTTCATGAATATTGTCGATCGAGGAGATGGTATTCTCATTATCGCAGGATTCTTGAGGTTTTCTCTCCTCGTTTCTTCATAACAAATATATGAGTTTCATTTCAATATAAGTGCAGTGAGAACAAATCAAATAGTTTGCCTCAAAATATCACTGCGATCGGAGATATCTATTCCAGGGTGCTTGAAAAATGAAGAATTCGCATGTTAGTGAAACTTTGTTCAAAAAGAGGTCGAAAGGAGAAAGTTATAGATAGATACATGGAAGAAATATACCATTTCAACTGATTTCTGGAAAGTTGAGACTCGATAATTTTATATATAGACTATCGGTTTATAGAAAGAATATCAAATCTCCACTTATCTTTGGGAAGTAAAATTTTGATATATTCTCTATATACCTATATACTTCCTCTCCAAGCCTTTCTCAAAAAAAGTGTCACTGACTGTCGTCTGATACAATTGCCTTCAATTCTTTGACAAGAATTCATTTTGACACCAATATTGTAGCAACCACTTGCCCTATCCTCAGCTCTGCAGACGAGAGTTCATTCTCTTCAAGAAATCCTATTTCTTTTTATGGAACTAATATACGACGAAGGCAGGTCAACGCTATCGATGTGGATCTTGCAGAAATCACAGTCTTTGGAACCAATAACCTAGTTGAATTAAACGCCACCAAAACTCAAAACTGTATTTTCTCTTGAGAGGCGAGACTGTATATCTGATATAGCAATGTCTGGTTACGTCATTCTCAACGAGGCAACCATATCTATGCTTGGTATTCCCATCAGTGATACATCTGGTTCGATCCATCGCGAAAGGTGCTTCCCAAAAACTCAAACAATTTTTTGTGCAAATGGCATATTTATATCTAAACAGCTCCTCATGATCTTCAGAGCAAAGAAACAGCTTGTTCTAGAATACTGTTACCAGATATGGAGTGCAGCACTCAAAACATACGCTGATGTGTTTGAATCTCATCCAGAGCAAAGCGATTCGCCTGAAGGGCGATGCGATGTTCACTTCTCCTTTGACGTCATAGGAACTCCGTAGAAAAGTCGACGACTTTTGAATGAATGAGTACTTCCACGAAGAATGTTTCTCAGGAACCCTGCTATGGAAATAGCAAATACCAGTCAGAAAAACTTGACTGATCCAGTCAGCACATCCTTTCGTCGTCAACTTCTGTAATGAAGTGTTTTTGACCAGCTTCATTACTAGACTGGTTTCGATGGAAATCTAAGAACCTGAGCCTGATTCTAGTTGAATATCACCTTTTCGATAGCTGAAAACCTTAGCGAGCTGAGTAATGCATTGATTCCTGACTTCTCACAGCTTTTCCTGATAGTAAACTCTGATGAACATCATGACAACCCGAAAGACTTCAATATTTTGCAACCCTCTGCATATGATATGAAATGTGGATGAATTATCTATCTGTTGAGATGCTTGATGTTTGACTGCTCATAACTTTGTTGTTATTGAATATTTTCTAGTCGAATTCATTCAGTAGCATAAGCAAAGGTAGTAGATCCTGATCCTGGGACATTTAGGGTTGAATATTATTTTTTCCGCGTTCTGTGTTAGAGGTGCACATGTGCTTTCCAAGGACAGATTTAGTGGCCATGGACATGAGCCATGACAAGGAGGGAGCTTAGACCAATGAGATTCAAGAATTACTTGTCCTTGTGCCAAGGCCGAAGCAGTGTAGAAATACTGAAGACAGCTATAAGGATTCGGGTCTCTCTCCTCTTCTCTACAAGTCTACACTACCTGCTCGACTTGCTCTTCAAGCTCTAGATTCTCTTGCTGATCTTCCAGTGCTCTCATATTTCATTCAAAACCAGTGTGAAGTATAATTGTATAGTGATTTCGGGATACACATGTGAGTTTGTATATATTTCACCATTGTTATTCATCCTGTTCATAGATTCATTGCATTTCTGTTGTTCAGCATACCGATACTCACCCGACCTGAATAAAGAATCCAGAACTTTGAATTTGCGAATAAACGGATTTTGTGATTGCATCTTTCATATTTCTTTCTCTGTTGTCATTGTTTCCAATACCAAATAGTTCGATAATTCATTCATAGATTTTGTCAGAATTGCAGATTATTATCATTGACTGACGACTCACACTGACAAGCCAGTGGTAGATTCTTCTTTTTCTATTCCTCGAGGAATCCTCTCCTGTGCATCCGAGTCATTGTGCTTTGTGTTCCGTCAGGCAGTGATCTATGTTTCATGGAATTTTGACATGAATGCATGAATGGAAAATTAATCAACCTCACTAAAATTCTGATATTGAAAAATTTGAAAACCCAAGGAAAAAGAAAGGTAAATAAGCATTGAACCTGTTCAATTCGTTTGGAACTGTGTTTCCGATCCTCCAGGAAGAAATTATGAAATATTTTGAATGGATGATTTTCTTGACCTAACCTCAGAAAACCAAAGAGTCCCGAAAAATATTCGTTTCGATTCCTGTAATTATCCAGACTTGAAATAGCAACCAATATCA